AAAAAACAACCCCCCGTAAGGCACTTATTCATGTTCAGAGACGGAATTCACACCCGACCCAACACACCAAAAAATTCATGAAACCAACACAATTTCATGAAATTAAGTATAAATCCGTAAAACACATTCTCAATAATTATAAAAGAATAATTCAAGCACCATATTTACCTCAAAATCATAAACTTTTCATAAAAATAAATTTATAATTTATGAAAATTCTATGAAACTTAAATCTAAATAATTCGAAACTAAATTCATATGGTTTCAAATCAAATAATAATTCATATTCATTCTTCTGGTATGATTCATAGCAAATAAAGTATATTCAGCCCATGCAATTATGCATTTCAAAACTGAATCCAATTAACCATAAAAAATCACTATGAGAAAATAAATCAAATACAAAGCCTTTGGATTACTTGAACAAATTAATTCTCATGGATTCAAGCCATTGCTATTCAATCAACATAGGGAAAAAATAATTCAGACTGACGGATTCATGAAATCAAACTCAATTATCAGACTTAATACAATACCATGCGGTATTAACAAATCCTTAATCCATATTTTCAATGAAACAACAAAATCCAAATATAAATTAGTTCTCAAATAATTAATATGAAGAGGCTCTGATACCACTTGTTGAAAATTTTAACCTTATGCGAATAAAAACATTCGTTTTAATCCCAGGAGCATTCATATCGAATAATTGAGAATCAAACCGAATAAAAGCGGAAGCGTACCGTAATTCATGAATTCATTTGCTTGATAATTCTCGTGTGTTGTGTTTTCCCAAACGATCTTGTTGGACTGGTATGGTCTTCCAAACGATCGAACCTTATAGCAGATTTTGATCTGTAGTGTTTGTATTGGATATATGATTTTTTTTTTTTTATTAAATTATTCTGAAGTGAGAAGGTGAGTGCTTTTAAAGAGAAAAAACACCCCTTCATAAATCTGCTCGTGTCTTTTCGTCGTTTGGGGCCATAACCAAATAAATAAGAAATATTGATTTTCAGTTCGGTCCCTCAACAAACAGAAAATCATATAATGATATCTACACTTTTAAATCCATAACAATTTGATACTCTCTTTATTCAAAATTAGAAATTAGTAGATCACTTTAATTGAATAATATTATGACAATTATACACATTTAATTTACATATGTTTTCCAATAAAATATTTCTAACACAAAATGCCATGGTCTTGAATGTGACTATGCTGAATTGCTAGATTTCTCGAAATGTACTGAAAGTATCGGTGATGGGACATTTGGAGAATCAGAGACTGGTTGTGCTACCATTGATATTTTGAAGATCGTTTATTAAAATACAATGATGATTCAATTGGGACAATTGTGCATAACATTAACACATATCTGATGTTAGTTGATGTTCCATGATTTTTTAAGGATTGAATTGAAAGTTATTTGCACCAATATTTGAGATTGTTAAATCTATAAATGTGTACATGACGTAGTTGAACTTTCACAGGACTAACATACTGTTATGATAAAATTTATCTGGTTTATTCCGGTCTAACAAACATATGCTATGTTTATTAGTCAAATAAGCTAGCTGTATAACTTATTTGGTTAACTTATAAGCTTCATGTATTTAAATAAGCCTCATTTGGTAGGAAAATTTTTTGTAAAAAAACTTAAACTTATCTCATAAGCTTCTTTAGGTAGTTTTCAAATAAGCTAGTTGAAATTTCTATTTAAACTAGTTTATCAACTAATTTTACCAAATATTTTATCATATAAGCTAGCTTTTCAGCTATAAGTCATAAACTATAAGCTATAAACTCAAAAATTACATATAAGCCACAAGCTAACTTATCATCTATCAGTTACTTTACAAAACATAGCCATAGCATTAAAAAACTAAATTTAAAACAATATGG